TTGCCAATATGTTTGTCTAACCTCTATAGTACTGTACATGTACAATGTGTTTAAACTAGTTGGAAGATCCCCAGGGAAACTAAAAATAAAGACTGGTAATTGGTATTTTCTTGAGGAGAATATTAAATTACTTGGGAAACAAAATTAATGAAGATGAAACATTACTGTAGTATATATCATTTGTTTTGCACTGGCAGACTACTAGTATGTGATTTTTCTGCCAGAAGTTAAATTCCCTCTGCCTTTTTCCTCTCTGTTTGGCTTATTACTGGGGTGCAAGTCTCATGTAGCCACCTGTAGGCCTTGCCTTTTTTGGTAACACTTTGACATTATAAGAGATAGGTTGCTAAACTCCAGGTTGCCTGCTGCTACTTCTCAGTCCATTTTCACCAGTACTCTGCCTTGCTGACTATTACTTACTTGGGTATGTCCAAAAACTATACTTTTTTCTTTCTTTCTCTCCCCTTGTTAAGTTCCTAGATTTATTTGTAGATGTGGGAGAATCACAACAGGCACTCTAAGATATGGCTTAGAGGGAAAAAAAAATAAACACAGGACTTTGCACCCCTTCAGCTTATGGCAATAGAATGGTGCGTAGGTACCGGAGCTGGTCACATAATAATTGAAAATAATAAAATTCTAGTACCTAAAATTAGAACCACTTGTATGATAAAAGGAAAGATTTCAATCCGTATATACTAGAAAGTTGACCCTGTGTGTCAACACATAAAAAAGCTTTCTAAAGCTCCCCCTCCCCCTTTATTCTTGTTTCATAGGACCGACTCTGTCTTTATGTTGAAGGTCTTTGGAACCCTTCCCAGCCTCCCAAGATCTATGCCATTACTTGGAAAATATGTAATCTATCATACAAGTAACACCTTGCCTTTGGCCCACCACATAAGTGCAGAAAAAACCTAGAGAAGTAAAGGGTAAGGGGAATGAACAAGTTTGGGGGTTTTTTTTTATGGTTGGAAAACCTTTCTTTGTGTTTGTCCGCTCTTACTTAAGGTTAGTATATTTTGAGTGAGCTCTTGACCGAGGCTTGAGAATTCAAGAATGTAAAAAGTACTAGAGAAACATCACCCTCTTCAGGAGTTTGTCTAAAATTTTTAAGGAGGGAGGATATATGCAGATAGATATCATACCTGCAGGCTTCAAGTGATTTTCAAATTTTTTTCTACATTTGTTTTTAGTTTCTTTATGTTTGAGGGATAAAAGAAACCTATGAAATTTTGTGGGAATTTTGTTGATTGCGGTGTAAAACCTTGTAGATGGTATGATTTTGTAAAGAATACCAGAACTATTCTAGGTACGTAGAGTGCTCCCTTGTTTTTCATGGTATTTCGAAGAATTTTACATCTAGTTACTCCATCAAGCTTGACTTACGGGAGTCGCAGGCGATGAGTAATAGTGCTATCGAATTCGTCCTTGTTGTGTCGGTTTCCCGTCTTTATAATTGCTGTAAAGTGTATACATATCTACAGAGCACCATGGCCTCAAGGACATATATCCAGGAAGCAAATCAGCTTCGAAAGCTACCTATTGGTATTCAGCAATCTCGTTTGTAGTCAGTTTCTAGGAATTCTTTCAGGAGGGAGGTGGGTCGATAAGCTTCGGTTGGTAAGAGTGGGTGCTGGGGATCCAGGCTTTCAACTGAGTTATGGCTACATAATTCAGAACTTCGTTCGAGGGCCCTTGCGCTCTAAATATTTGACTTCTCTACAAGAACAGTTTTCTCGGATACAACACCAGCTGGGGCGAGAATTTAGCAGAATAGATAAAAGAGGTTAGAAATTGTATATTAAAAGAAGCTTAGCGACTCACCCGGGCAGCTCAATCCAATGGTGCAAGCTATTGGCCCATGTAGCACTAACTTACTGAATATCGAAATCATCGAAATGGCACTGTACTTTCACAATAAGTTCTTAGAATGGTAGGAACATAACAAGTATTGAAGTACTAATTAGACTTACGATATGGACAGCCAGTTGCTTAATCCCAGGGCCTCACTACCCCCCTTCTCATTCTGACGATTACACAGGGTGCCTCAAGGGGAAGAACACATCAAACCCAGCCGTATATCACACTGCCACCACAAAAAAACATACGACGGGAAGGCTGAGAGACTCCCGGTGCTCCCCACCGATGGCACAGGAAGAAACATTGCTTAGGATCTTGATGACCCCATATCATACTTTATTGTGCCCTGTCGGTGATGCGGTGCCGTGCGACATGGCACCCTGCCCCCACTGCTTAACTGCCCCCTTACATCCTCCAGGAACCTCACACCTACCCCATCTGGACTCCCGGACTGGAGTGTGTAGTACTGTGCAGTGCCGTGCCCCCACTTCTCGCGTCGCAACGGTTGGGTTAAATGCCTAGCGTGAGAGAGAGGTTGGAATGCGGTGACCCGTGTGAGATGTCATGTGCTTTAACGGGCTGTGCTATACACTACATCTATTAAAATTTCCCGGGGCTTGGTCAGGATGCGACAAAATCCCTTGAAGGTGGCCGGGGAGGAAGAAGAGGTCATTTCGTACATTGCGAACAGGATTGGCGATCAGGGGTCCCGGAGGTGAGGTTGTGTCACAATAATTATTGCTCGGAAGAGGGAGATGGGGTTTTGGAGAGGTGGGGGGCGGGGATAGGAGAGAGGAGACTTTGATGATTTGATGGTGATTAGTTTGGGGTTTCCAGTAGCGCAATCATGACCGGCAGGTGCATTTGGGGTCAGGGTAAGTGTAGTAGTGTTTTTTTTTGTCGATATGGAAGTATTTGCCATTCCTTCCTGAGGGTCACGAGCGTGGAGATGGTGCCACTGTGGACGGAATCATGCTCGGCGGTGTGGAAGCTGAGTTATCCAAGAGTAGATGGTTCAGAATACCTACGGGGTACACTGGCTATTGAGACCGCCTAATTGCCTAAACGAAGCGAATGGATAATGTCCTTTCTTCTTCCAAGAGAAGAAGCCGAAGTTATCTTATCGGATTGGGGAGATCTCGTGTGATCATTGTGATGAGAAGTGTGGAGAGGGTGTACCAAGCGAAGAAATTCGTTGGAAGGGTTCTCTGTCTAGACCTTCACAGTGCTTTCTATAGCTGGTTTCGGGTATTTCCTTTGTTCTGCAGCCAATATTCCACAGGCTGGCCGGCCACCATATGCAGTATGATACGGAGCTTGATTACTAGGGGTTTGAGAAATTCGCCTAATGGCCCTTAAAAGCATGGGCCCAAAATGGCCATCCATGGACGGGGAGTTAGTACTGGGGGTGAGTCTGCCCCCTGCTGATACCGTACTGGCATAGCTGAGCTGGTGTTGGACGCGTTGTGTGAGTAATGGACGATATAAGAGGACAAGGAGCAACCTGTGGCTGCAATTAAAGAGAGAAGGAGGCTTGAGGCAATAAACAAGAGGATAATCTTCTAGGTTCTAGGAGTGATATTCAATGTTTGCCAGAGGTCAGTCCGGCTTTTCGAACCCATGTGACCCGCATGGCAGGCCTCCGAGGAGTGAATACATCCGAGTGATCGAGTATGAACTCAGACTTCACAGAGTTTTCAGGACGGATGTATATGTTGGCCTAGATTCGACAGAACACCAACCCGTGTGTCGGGAGTTCCTACACCTAATCGACTGTGCTGAAATAATATGCCATCCTCATCACTAACTTTATTTCTTATCGCATTGGGGTTGACAGACTCCTTGGGGCAGATCTTAACACAGATCCGGAGCCCACGAGTACTTATCTGCTCGCATGGGTAGTTCTATGATATCTAACCTGGTAGTCAGGTTTGGAAAAGCGATGAAATAGTTTGTGGGGCGGAACCCCTAGGGCAAGGAATTCTTGGAAAATCATGTGGTGGTGAAGCTATAAGATAAAGTGTTAGGGATTTAAGGTTTGTAATGATACTGAAATGCGGTGTTCTTAAAAGGTTTAGGGCTGCCGTAGGGCATGGAATGACGGCTGCCAAGGGCCCCTGAAGAAGAGGGGAGGAAAACATTGTTTGTCCTCGTCTTAGCAGAACCACATCACACCCTCCTTGGGAAATCCAATAATCTCCTCGAATGACACGCGATGTGGGTGAACGCAATGAGGTAGAGTAAGCGGGGGGCAGGTGTTCCAGATGAATGCTGGTAAACCAAGAATACAATCTTATATTCCCAGTTTATCGGCGTATAATTTGGTTGGCTTCTACTTCCAATTAACTGCGTTTTGTTATCCTTACCTTGTTCGGGTTTGTTTGTCAGTGTACCCCAACACTTTCTATTTTCTGTGCTATTCTGTTTCTGTATGCTCCTAACTCCTTTCTTTCTTGCATGTAAAGGTTGCGTATAAACTGGGTTTAGTTGTTGAAATACCATGATGTCACCCGAATCAAGCCCCATTGACACCAAGTACTAAGTGCAGCATGTAACTAGAGTTGCTTGTTGTAATGTTTGAGCAACTAATCCTGACACTCATGTCGTATGTCGCGAATGGTAAGAATGGGGGGCTTTACTCCCACTTTTTCAAAGCTACCAGGCTCGGCGGTCACTGGAGCTCGGTTGGCGCGGGTTGGGCGAACGATGCGCTATGACTTCTACATGGCGACAGGATTGATCACAAACACTAATACTAGTATAGGATTGGAAGGATAGATGCTGCACTTGTGCCAAATATATGTTTCCGGCGTCATTATTCGCCGTGGCTACAACTCACATTCCCGGAAAGTCTGAACATGTATTTTCTCGAGTCCCCAATTGTACCACGCGTGGAGAGGGTGAAGGGCACGAGCTTCTGCCACGTTACCAGAATCCACTATTCCATAGCCGCACACATAGTCCATTCAAAGAAAGTTAAAAGTACACTAAAGGCACAAAAAAAATCTGTCACACGAACAGGAATTAGATACATAGCATGTTTGTATTTAAGCGATAGTGTTCCTCTTTTCCAGGTCATCTGTAACATCAGCCTCCCGATGTTCCACCTGCCCCTTATTCATAAACTTGCCCACCTTTTCTTCAAGTCTGGAGCTAACCTCAGAGCTCTTCCAGGCAGGGACCTTGCTATCAAACAAGTAGTCAATCTCTTCAAGTGTTTTACCTGCAGTCTATAATTAACAGTTAGTACTAAGTTACCCAAGATTATATCAGAGGGAAATACCTCTGGGAACATGAGATAACTATGCAATACACCACAGAAGCAAAACACACCAAAGATGATGTACGTGCGCCATTGGATCCTACGGAAAGCCGGTGGAACGAAGTATGCAAGAGCGAAGTTGAAGATCCAATTCGCTGCCGCGGACAAGCCCACCCCTTTAGCACGCCACTGAAGAGGAAAGATTTCGGAAATGAAAATCCAGGCAGCAGGTGCCTAAATTGTATATTACGTTAGGCCGAATCCAGGGTCAGCTTATGGGGCAGGTGACAAACCCAAGTAAGACCGTAGAAGGCGACAAATATATAACTGCAGGCGATTACACCCTTTGCATAGCTCCCATGAACCCTCCACTTGATGTTTGCATTTCCGCCGACTTCTTCGACGCGGTGGCCGCCAGTCTTCATCAACCCAGCAACTGCAAAGTTTAACACTCCCATGGCTATACCGCCATAGAGGAATAATGGGCGACGGCCTAAGCGATCAATGTATAGAAGGGTTATAGCGGTGGTGACGAGGAAAATGACGTATTGGATTGAGGATGAAACAAGGTTGACGTTTCCGGTGAGCCCGGCCATGTTGAAGACGTAGACAATATAGTACATCATGACATTACCCCCAACAAGCTGCTGCCAGATTTGGCAGAAGAGACCGCAGCTATGTGATGATTGGCTTGTCAGTACAGGGCAGGGAGCGAAATTTGATATATAGGAGCATACACAGTCCGTCTCCACATACGAGGCCCAAACAACCCTAAAATTGACAATTGGCTTCCACGGATAGCAAGTTCTTGAGCTTCACGCACTTCCTCAAACTCCGCTTGCACTAGTGGGTCATGGATATTGCCCTTGCCATGCAATAGCGCAAGTACATCGAGAGCCTCATCCCAGCGATCCTTCGAGGCATACCAACGTGGAGATTCTGGGAAGAAGAAGAGTGCAGCTATCAAGAATAGCGCAGGGATGGCCTGAATTCCCCAAGCTGTTCTGAAGGATGCTGGCCCATCGATGAAGGTGCAACCATAGGATATCATATACATAATCAGAATACCCCATTCGATAGCCCACTGTTGGATACCGACGATACGGCCACGGATATTCTTTGGGGAAAGTTCCGCAAGGTAAACAGGTACTTGGGAAGACATTATACCGACTGCGAAATTAAGGTGTTATAATCCGAAAATATGGTGGGGGCCCGTTAGTACTTACCAGTGAGCCCGTTGATAACACGACCAGCGACCAGATGGGCGACATTCTGGGCACTCAAGGTTACCACCGACCCAATGACCCAAACAATGGATGCGACAAGCAAGGCATGTTTTCGACCTAGGATATCTGAGAGATATCCCGCACCTATAGCACCGGCAAAGGAGCCAGCCGACATGGAAGCGGTGATCTATCATGTAGTATTAGAAGTAGCTGAGCTGCGGAAAAGTGGGTTTCTTGGGAGGCACAAAGGGATGGGGAACCGCACGCCGCCTTGGAGATCTGAATTGGGCGAATTGAAGTAGTCCAGGTATTGCGGGGTTCCAATCCATGCACTCATTGAACTGATGTCAAAACCGAAAAGGGCGCCCCCAATGGTGCCAAACGCGGCGAGAACTATTGACCGGTAAGTCCCGGTGACCCAGGTATGTATAATGTCTAGCCGGGAATACCGTACCGTAAATATTGCTTATCCTATGCATATTGGTGTCTTCTTCTCCTGGTCCTGTTTTGAAGGGAAGAAAAAACCGGTACCTTGCTCAACTCTGGAAAGGCCTTTTGTTCGCAATCCAAGTCCCGAGCAGAGCGAGAGGGGACTGCCCCGACTTATATTATTCCTATCTATTACCCCATTTCTGGGGAAGCACTCTACTATACCTCTGACTCTGCTTTTTCTTTGCCCCAACTCTGTTCCCCCGTAACGACCCAGCACCACATGGTGCTTAGAATATCACAGATTAAGCGCCTGCAGGCAGCTTTTATATTGTTACGCCTATAGCTATCTTGTCTTTAGCCAGGGGATGCTATGAGTGAAAAGCTAGGGAGGCCAGGGAGCCTATTCAGGCTGATTACCTCGAAGCTTGGTTACGCCCCTCTAACCACCCCAGACCTGGCAGGGAGCGGCGCTGTTAACGGTTTCGGGAAGCTCCCGCGGTGTAGGAGTCCATAGCGGAAATCGCAAAACATCGAGTGGCACAAAAAATGGTGGAGTAGTAACCGAGATGAAAATAATCCAAAGTTAGATGCAAAATGTTACCACTGAGTGCGGGGGGGTAATTCGGCCTGATATGCTTGGGGTCTGCGGAATGGAGCTTAAGTAAAGAGATATTCTCGGTTCAGGAACTCTGGTGTGTCGAGAAAGCGCTGACGCCATGACATGAACAAGCTCCAGGCCTTGACCAAAGCTCTCGCCCAGTGAGAGGTTAGTGGGGGAAGTGGTTCGTCCGATAATGATAAAATTCATGTTACTATTGAGTTCCGGCTGTTGCCATTTGCTTCATGTGTTGGGTTTGAAATTTCTTTTAGCAAAGCGGTACGATGCGGTATCATACTCACGCCCGTGTTGATAGAGTGGCATGGATCCAATTTGAACTACCTATTATACCCTCACTCTGCTACCGGCCAGCGCCCCAGCCTGGCTACTTTGGATTAAACTGCTGGACTAGGCCTGGACGCACCCCATATATTTTATACTGATGAATTGCAGAAACCTTGACGCTTCACATGCGAGTGCAGGGTTTGTATGCCCAATGGCAGTTGAAACAGATATTTTGTGCGTTGGTCGATTATACTAAACAGATATTCAAGTATGAGTAGTCTCCGGAAAAGTAGGTAATCCCGAACTCGCACTTTGTCCTATGCTTTTGCGAATGCAAGGTGCCTTACTTGGTAGCTAGTCCGCTAACTCTACGGTACAGTATCCGGTTGCGGGGCATGGCCCTGAGACTTCCTCCTGGCATCCTAAGCGCCTCTTGCCCACTGAGCTGCACCCTCTTAGACGGTAATGTCGAAGGTCGCTGATCTCGATTTTAAATTCATCAAGGACAGAATGCTCAAGCCAACTCGGAGAAAAAGAAAGGTTGAAAGATTGGTCCTTATATAAATTGTCGGTCTTTCGGTGTGGTACTTGTAGAACGCCGTGATAAAACTCCACACCAAAATTTACGAGCCCTTACTAATATTTAAGGACAAGAAGTATGATATCATAGCTGTTAACTAAATCCAACTACAGCACAGGTAGTAGGGGGGCTATCCCGACTACCGAATAGCCGCGCATAGGGCAAACACTCTTACTCTAGCTGTATGATATATCAAAAATATCATATCACTATGTTATTAGAGCGAGAAACTCCCCACAGGTGGGTGCCTTCCGCCAAAACCAGGCCACCTTCCCCACCAAGCCTGGGAGTTCCATTTGGGTCAAATAAAACCGGAAAACATGTAGAGAGTGGTTGGAAAAAAGGAAATTAAATAGAAGGTTTATGGAATTGAGAAACCACCAAGAGCCTAGAAAAAAGAGGCCTGGCACTTTTTGTATGTCGCCCCAGCATAATGTCCCGAGCCACCTTCAGATCCTATAGCATAATAATACAACAGACCACCAACCCACAGGATTTCCACCTCCACTCTTGAAAGAAATAGTTGGTTCCACGATTCCTAGAGCTTGCTATTTCCCAGGTGGAGTTGAGCCGCGAGTCTCGGGAAACCCTGTTTTGGCACAAGATGGGCAACGGCCCGGGTTTCGTGTCACCATGCTGTACCTTAACCCGAGCCCTAACGAAGGGATCTTCTGGATGATGTTCTCAGTTGTGGGTGGGGTGGCTATTGAAAACAGTTGAAATATGGCGCTGCGGTTGGGGATCTACTATTCACGTACTGCTGTAGCTTCTTATCTGTCACAGGTGGGATTAGCAGAATGTGTTCACTGGAGTCACACGGCAAATTCTACTCTCAACCAAGGGCAAAGAGTACTGTTATACCTATACCCGACTTCCAATTACGGAATACATTTACCCCGGGCCTTCGGATCACTCGAAAGTTGACTCTAGAACAAGCATCGCGGTTGGTTGGAAATTACCTGTAGGGATCGGCGCCACCAACTTAGGCTCTTGTTGCTAGATAATTAGTCGGGGCTACCTACTACTGAGCTAGAAGTAGAGGTAACAATCCATGCGTTCGAGATGTTCGCATAGCTGGTGGGAAGTATGCGGGACGAACTGTTGATGAGGGCTACAGAAGATATTCTTTCCAAGTTAGTAGTGCATATACTCTTACATGCCGGAAGGGTTACAGTTTGTGATCAATAGCTGAAAGCACTAGAACTGAGCAACTAGTTGATTACATAACCCTTGCCCCAACTCTCAATTTTCGGCCGTAATAGAGCGGGATTGTGGTTCCAACCGGGGCCCCCCTCTCCGGGTATGATGGGGCATCATACCGTACAGTACTCGTACTGGTACGCCGCCCCTGAATCGCCTTACCGCCGGTCCCCTACCAGGAAAAACATGGTAAAGTTCAATACACGCACGGAAATATTCCTTAGTTAGAAGTCCACAATGCCTAGCCCCTGTAGAGATGTAGACTAACCCATAGTAAAGGAGATACCGGTACGAGTACCGAGATCCCACGGCACGTAGGCTCAGGCAACTTTAAAAAAACCTCTGACCGATAACGAAATACTCTCTCCGATTCATGTGTTATCCATCACTCGCCTTTTCAAGTGGTAGCGTTTCTTGACCCCGGATCTGAGATGCTCATAAACAGCGTCTGTAGTAAATTCGCACAGAGTGTACAATCCCAATACCGGTAAAACAGGATGAGAATTGCTTGCCTTCGGAAGACCCGTAATGTAGGTGCCTTTGTCATAGCACCTGCTCCTCACGTGCATATATGGAAGACCCACTTGTGAAAAGAAAACCGTGAGGGGTAAGCCACCGCTACCAGTTTTCGTTGGCTATCCCTTGCGGTGATCTCTTCTACCATGATTGGCATCCTCTTGGAGCCCTGCGATAATTCAAGACTATTGTTCGTGGGAATTGTCGGCTCTACTGGTCATAATAGCCATGGTAAACCCCCTGTCAGCATTCCATGGAACTGCGGTAACATGGAAGGAATAAACCATGCACTCAAGTCCGGTAGCTCTGTCTGCATCCGCCCCAGGCGGTACAGCAACCGGGGGGGGGACACATTCGTTCTGAACAGTTCAGCGACTCGCGTACTGTGGGTACTGTACAGTACCATCCAAGCAGGCACACACAAGGGCCCTATTAGCGGGTAGACATCTTCTTGGCGTCTACCGTTATGGGGATGAAATCTGAGCCTCAACCTTATCTCACACTGTTTCCCCACATGGATGGGATTCCGTTGGATCTTTGGGGTTCGACAGTCTTCTATCGAACCGTGTCATCTTCTCGACATTGCTCTTGCCATCTCACGGGATAAAGGGGACAAACCGCAGCGGGACTGGCTCTGTACATTATACCGGATTTTGGGTTCCCTTTCTATTGTCCGAAGCCGTGATTTCGGGCGGAAGAGGTTGTTTCGTTCCTTGATCCTCACCACCATCGTCACGAATAGCGCGTCTCCCCAGGACACCGCTTTACACGCATCGCCCCGCCGACATTCCACCTCTGACCTTCGACCTTCGACCTTTGACCTCGTCGTTGTATCGGCGTCCCAAAAAAACCTCGGCGAATAGAACGGCAGTTGGGAAGTCCTACGCCGCCGAGTCCCTCCTTTCAACGATGACTTGATCAGTGAAATAGTCGTCATCTTCACCTCTCGTTACATCTCAAACATACCTCCCTTCTCACCGTCTCCACAAACCGCAAAACATTCCCGATCTAAGACCTCACAATCTCAACGACAAATACCATGTTTCGTAAACCTTCAGAAATTTCATCCTCTTCTGAGGATGAAGCCGATCCATCCTGTGACCCACCATCCGCACCTCCAGCCCCTCCCTGTCGCCCGACTGCGGGAACCCCGGAGCAGGAACTTGAACCGGTGAACCCTGTGACGCTCTATTCCCCGATCGCCCCGACAACTCCGGCCAATCACCATAACGCGATCCTGCTGAACTCTTTGCTGGAGCACTTTGTGAAGACCCGGGTGCCAACCTCGCAACCGGAACTTGCCGACAGGCTGTTCTCCAATCTCGCTCATCGTCTCGGAGGTCTGGGGTTTGTTCCTCAGACTAACGGGGATATAACACGCGAAGGCCTTGCACCTGTCAGACAGGGCTATCTTCGTGGCCTCGACCATCTCCTGTCACAAGAGATTGACAAGAACGCTGAGGAGGATAGGGCTACAAATGTGTTGGCTGGCGATTTGGGGAGAAGGAGGGGAGTAGAATCTGGTATGGGGGCTAGGACGAGACCTCCCTTTCGCCGCCTTCTCACGGACCTTACTACTCGAAACCTGAATCCTAATGACCGTCAGGCTATCCACCGGAGCTCTTCATTGAGTGTTCTGAGCGATGCCTGCAGGGACAGCCCCTTCCGTCCTAGCACAGCTCCCGGAGCCGCTAGTACAACTACCACCTCAGCCTTTTTACCTCCACATACGCAGACCTCTCCCACGATTATTGAACCGGCTATTCTATTACCGCTTCCTCGTTATGCCAATGACTTTGTCGAGATCGCTTTATTGGGCAAGGGCGGTTATGGTTCGGTTTATCATGTTCGTCACCGCCTTGATGGCGTTGAATACGCGGTTAAGAAGGTCGTTATTAAGAAGGGCGTACTTGAGAATGAACTGGGTGGTAAGAAGGATGGTCTGGAGAGAGTTGTGAATGAAATCAAGACTCTGGCACAACTCCATCATGTTGGCATCGTTCGTTACTTCTGCAGTTGGGTTGAGGGGGTGGTGGAAGACATGTTGACTACTCCCCAGTTCATTGGAGGTCATGTGGGGGTCCAAGATGTGCAAGGCCATCGGTCGCCTAAAGCAGAGGTCCTGAACGAAATTGAAGACATTGATGCTGACATAATATTTGCTCATTCCGGGGAAGACGAGAGGATTGAAACAGTTGAGGAGACTGTCACCACCTCCGGTGTCAACGGTCAAGCCAGCGATGGGTTGGAGGACTCTGTTGAATCAATTCCCAGATCATATCCTAAGCGCCGCCATAGCCAGGCCAACGTGCAGCATGGAAAGCCAAAAGTCGCATTTGATATTCCATCCCGTTCTGATTCAGGGTCCGAGTTCACAGGGTCGAATATCTTCTCCTCCGGTGGTGGGCTACTAATCAAGTCTACTCCCAATAGCCATGGGAGAAAATCGTCTTCTACATCTTCTGGCCTGACTCTGTATATCCAGATGTCTCTCCATTCGTTTACCCTCACTTCGTTCATCTCGGCATCCGCTCACCTCTCTAAACCCACCCCAAGGCATTGCTTCTGCGTCAAGTCGTCGCTCGACATATTCCTGGGCCTTCTGGAAGGTGTCCAGTATCTTCATTCTCAAGGAATCGCACATCGGGATCTGAAACCCGGTAATATATTCCTAGACGTTGAACCTGCTAGGAAGGGTTGTCATTGTGGGGAGGCTGTGGTCTTACCACGTATTGGGGACTTCGGACTGGGAACTAGTATTAGCAAGGATGGTCATGATAGCACGGCGGCTGTTGGTACTGAATTTTATAGGCCTGCTAATCCCGATCCCGCCATTCAAGGTGATGTTGTTGGAAGAGATTTGTTTGCGTTGGGAATTATACTCCTTGAATTGCTGGTGAGGTTTAGAACTCGTAAGTTGATTTGCTAAACACGTTTCCGCAGCGCATTATTAGATTGCTGATTTCTCTTAGGTATGGAACGTGTGGAGGTCCTATCTAAACTTTCCAGAACCGGCCAGATTCCAAAGGACATCGAACAACTCAACGATCAGAGAGTAGCTAGGGTCATCAAAGGTTGTTGCGGGATTGGTGAAGCGAGGTGGGAGATCTCCAAGATCAAAGCCTCTATTCGAGTAATCCTGGACGAATTGGAAGGGGTCAAGCATGGAGGCCTGGCAACGGTCTAGAGAATTGTACTGGCGAATTTAGCGTATGATGTACTGTAGCATATCCTCTTCACTCTCTTGACCATTTTTTTCTCCCTCATGTCTCTTTGCGTTTACGGGTGGGGTTTCAAAAAGGCTTGCATGCAATCTCAGAGAGGCTCTGCGCCGGAGGCATTGTATCAGGGGGGGGTGTCGGCTCCGGGCAGCTATCGATAAATAGATCGGTTAGATTTCACGGATTTGGCGTAGAACCCGGTGCCATATTTGGTTTTATGTCCGCGAATCTATGGAACCTCTGTTGACGTAGCAGAAGAACGGATCCTATGAGCAATCTCCCAATTTTGGTCCCCATATTCGTCATGTAGTTCTACTGAATAGTTTAGGCATCACAGTCCGGGAGGGGGCGCTGAATGGGGAGGTAACGAGGAGCTGTAAGGCTTGTGGGGCAGGGCCCCCTTACCGAGAACACTAAATCCTGCGTTCTGGTCTTGTTCGGCCTTCCCCCGAGATTTTGCGGGGTGGGGGAGAAGAAGCCCGGGTTCGTGTTTTCTGCTTCCTAAATTTATACTTGGGCGGGATAATGATTAAACTCCAAGCATCATGCCGCTCTCCGGTTCACCGAAAAATTGCCCCGGACCTAAGCTACCGTATTCTACGTGTAGAATAGCTGCATCCGTTTCCCTAGATAATTGAAAGCAAGAACGAGCTATCCGAGAAAGTGAAATAGTGGGTAAACTAGGAGTAAAAAAAGTCTCAAAATCGAGTGATATGCACCCCCTGCCATCCATGCTGCGAGTGCATGAATGTTCATGCACCGTGAGAGCCTCCCTTCCTTCCTTCTATATATATTCTAAAAGGTGATTCCAGCACCGTTTCATCCTTTTCAGTGCAGAAGGCGTTTCTCACCGTGGCCGGAGTAAGCAGTCCGAATTCGTGATACATGGCTGTGCGGAGCTCAGATTCGGGGGTTAACAGCGCGGTGCTTAAGTGAAGGGTATTCCTAAATTACTGTACTGAGACAGCATAATCGCCAAAAATTTACTTGTGCGCGGAAGTTTCGGTAGGTGGGAATCCGTCCCGAAGGAGAGAACATTTCGGGGTCTGAACTCTTACAATGCTTGGAGAGCAAGTGGCCCGTGCGCTCGTATGTAAATACCGGTATTGGAGACTAAGGTTGCCCAATGCAGGAGCTACCGATACCGGTATTCTGTCCCGTTGTCCGAATCGGAGAAGGAAATGCCCCCGAGAGAAAATGCAAAGAGGTAGTGGAATAGGTTAGGCATTGGGAACCTGGGCTGCCTGTTATTAATCGAAGTAAAGCACCTCTAGATCCCGTCTCACTCGGTTTATTCCGCGGCCCTCAAAGATTTTTGGCTCCTTTCGTTAGTGCAAGAGACCCCTATGGGGATTATTCAATTTGATCTAGCGCTGATTCCATAGTTGCTACTAGGCCGATGTTTGGTATCCTGGTTTGAATCTGATTTTCGTATCCCGGGCTCACCTGGGTGTAGAGGATTGCTGCTGATTTTTATGTGCAGGGCTGGGGTTCCTGTTGTAAAGTTAGCTCCGTGGCGTGCAGGCTCTATCAACCGAAGCCATGATAGACTGGTTGTTGATGGCAATATCCATTGTATTCCGTATCGGGGTGGGGGGTAGGACATTTGAATGAACTCGAGGTAGCTTAGTGTAAGACAAACCAGCAGGCTGAGTGGCTTTCGTGGCGCAGCTATTTACTGTGAGGATCGATAAAGGCCTTCTCTCTCTCTCCTTACTGCGGAATGGAAAAGGGAAATCCAACTAAACTAAACTACCGCACTCGAGTACAGTACATCGAATAGTGCTGCTAACGCAAGTATACTAGTGGTATTCGAAGTTAAAAACGTAGCAAGAACTTAGCTTGCTTTGTTTCATGCAGACTTAGCATGCACAAGGATGGTTAGTTTACTGTTATGATAAATTTACCATACTTTTTTTTCTGGTAGATATGGGGGCCCGGAGGTCTACAACCGGTATCATACAGAACTCAGTTTAACACAGCCCTACTAGATCTCTGGAATGACACATGATGTGAAAACATTTTTTTTTTTTAAAAAAAATAGGGCACACTTTAGAAATAACTACGCGCCCTCATTGGCAAAAAATCTCTTGACCTTGGCTTTCTGCTAACAAACATAGGGTTCTTGTGATCTCTATCATAACCTCTGTGCTGGTACCTTACCTTCAGTTACCTTGGTGTATTTAAATATGATATCCAAAGCATGAGGATGCTATTAGCTACTACCAGAAAGTAACCTCATGCAACCTCCTGCATTTGCTCATTACTGAAAAACCGTCCTTTTAACTCTGAATACTACTACTCCTCTACACTCTTCCTTCCGGTATCATGCTATAGTCAAGGCAACGGATCCCCATTTTCTCCACCCGATTTGCACTTCCACTTTTCTCCTCGCCCCTGTGAGTCTATTCGAGACGTTTAAATTCCCCGGAATGGAAGGAGAGCTAATTGACTTATGGTATAGAAGAATGGCTTCGCACCATCAACTTTCATAGGAACTACCGTGCCCCGGACATACGGATAGGCAACTCACATTCTGGGGACGTCGGGAAGGGGCGAGGGTAAGCACATATTCCAGCATTGTACAGTATCATACCTGAATCCGGTAATAACCTATCTGAAAATAACGGCCGCTGTTTCACTGCCATCCAAGTAGCAGGGAAAGGAAAAAAAAAAAAGGAGTCTTGTCTCATGTTCGGATACTTTATGTTAGATGCGAGTACGGATGACCATCCAAGGTCATTATAACTCACTCATGTGCTCTCCCCAGTTACTCATGCAGTCTCCGTCAAATGAGGGGCTCGCCCGTGATTGGGAGACTAGTTATACGAAGAGCACCTTCCATTTATTGTCTGGCTTGGTTATGCACTACTTTACCAATCTGGGAGAGCGTCACAATGGCATGAATAGCAATGTATATGGTACCATACTATGGATGTCCCGGGTTTAGCAGGCCCTGCGGGCCGTAGCTGGTGGCGTGCGGAAGGATGCGGGAGGGGGACATTTGCCTACCGGTTTTACATTATACCATGGAACGTCCACAGCTGTCCCCTCTAGATTTACCGAGGTAAGTCAGGGAGAAAAGGGTATCTGGAATTCCAGTTCTCTTCCTTGCTAAGGCGTGTAGGAGTGGATGGAATGACTTGATGCATTTTATAGCCGTGATACGATGCGGCCTATCGAAAGAGAAATACATGTCTGTCGAACCTCACCTATTGATCGCCCCGAACGCTGTACGGCTCTGATGGCCATGGAGGTGGTGACCCGTACCAAATGCTGACAAGGCGAGTAAGGATATAGAAAATTATCATGGATTCTAAATTATTAGGAGAGGCAACTACAATCCTCCAATAGGTGTAACCTCTGATTATTATAGTTCCCGGGGCATCGCACTCGTGTAAGGTATCGTGGGGTTTGGTAGTTGCTTGGGTATGCACTTGGCGATCGGTAGTCTAGGATTCTGGTAGCATGAGTGTTACTACCCTCATAGGAATTGGGAAAGAAGTTCGGTATAAAAATTGCCCGAACAAGCAAGAAGCCTTGGTACCCCCTAATATCGGGGGGCCGGATCGCCCCTGCTTGCACCGGGGTTTTGTACCGGTACCTTACGGATAGAGCACAAACTAAAACAGCTTAAAACGGTGGGTGAGTATGATATGATAAGCTTAGGTTGAAGCAACCTCGTCTTGAGCTTGAACGGTAAATGCTCAGAAGCATGGATAACCGTATCCCCGCTTGCCAAGTTCTGATCGCTTGGTACGGGTTTCGCTCTTCATATGCTCTCATACGAAAAGTATAGGTCCCCATTCTAAGTATTTTCGCGACATATTGAAATCGCTCGTTAAGTTCCCTATGGTACGGTATTTCGAACCCTATGGTTCAACCGATATAGTACCGGTATGACATATTAAACACGGCTTTCGATGGAAAGCGGCGATTTTCCTCGCTGCCTGTTTCCTCCATTAGGCGGCTATGCTCCTTATCTGCATGCTCAGTGATGGTGGAGTACGGTAGAGTATTTGGCCACAACAAACATTTCGAGATTCCCTGCCGGGGGGGATGACCTGAGGCTGAGATTTGATCTCTGGACGTCTATGAGATCTCGCCTGGGCTGACTGTGTAAAGACAAAGTGGTGTGAGGAGACAGTCTATGCGTGTTGTTCAAGTAAGGCACGACTTCCTCCAGGTTCCGTAAGACTTGCTTGATTGTTCGCACCGCGCGGTGAATCGGGAGTGCAGGTACAGTACCTGGTCAACAAGCTGGGACTTCGTCGCCCAAGAAATAACAACGGTATGGGTGGAAAGTATTATCACTACCGTATCCATTTCTCTCCACCATCAATTTCATGTTGTAAAATAATTGGCCAGGGAAGGAACTTGAGCCGGCTAAGCGTCAGACAATGACTCTAGGGGCTCCAATGTCGCTGGCTACGCGAGTAGTAGAGCAGAGTGCTCGCAGAGTACATTGCGCGGTGCTGCTGGCGGGGAACTTGGCTGTGGACTAGGGTTCTAATATTTACAAATACTGCCTATAGCAGGATATCAAGGTGTGCTACGGCTGTGGCATCTGAGTAAAACATTGCCCGTAAACCCCCCTAGGTTTAACACTCAGGATAGCAACTGCGCTGAACTTGAAATTCCGGCGTCTAGAATAGGAATGGAGCTCTGGGCTGCGATAAGGGAAAAATAGGGAGAAGATTTGCTGCAATGGATAGGATACATGCCTAAATATGTATGTCATCTTTTTTTGGCGGGAGAAAGGGAAAGGGCCCCCTTGAAGTCTGGTGAGGAAGGGATATAAAGTACAGAGGAAAGTAGCGCTTAACATTTCTTTCATAATATTTTATTTTATTCTTCAGATCTTCATCCTTCTTCGACTTTGCCCAGCCTCCCTCCCTTTTTCCCCCCACTCCTTTTTCCCAAGTACATTCCTCAAGATGATCTTATCGACTGCCGTTCTGTCCGTCCTGCTTCCGGCCGTGTTGGCCCTTCCGATACCCGACTTGAGCAGTCTAATCGCCGATCTTGAATCCTTCGAGGCAACCCCGGGTTCTAGCCCGATCGAGGCTCTCGAAGCAATCTTTGGGAACATTCATGCCGATAATGCTAGTGAAGCGACTGCTACGCCAGTGGTGGTGGACAGGAACGAATTGATCGATGGTCATTGCAATGACATTATTGTTATTTTCGCACGGGGGTATGATATGAAATCCCTCGTTTGATGCACATATGATATATGCTTGACACAAATTCTGGGGAATTATGTTTTGACAATGGGTATAGCACAACCGAACCAGGGAATGTTGGTGGTAGTGTCGGTCCTTCGTTTTTTGATGCTCTGGCTACGCTAGAACCTGAGAGGGTCGTTGTTCAAGGAGTCGATTACCCTGCTGATATCTTGGGATATCTTCAAGGCGGGAGTGACTCCGGCGCCTCCAATATGGCTTATTTGGTTGGCCTGGCTGCTTCTCAATGTCCTGATTCTAAGATTGTGCTTTCCGGGTACAGGTGAGTAGTAGTGACATTAATCTTGCTTTCGTGCTCAGACATGGGACCGGATCAGGAGGCCTCCCTCCTCGTCTCTCTTAAACAACGAGAGCGGGAGGAGCTTCCCTAATTATTTCCCCTCCCATCCCTGAGCACCCCACCACCTGGTCATTAATGCCAACTCCGGGGGCAGCCAAGGAGCACAGGTTACCCATAAGGCAGCCAAGGAAATTCCCGCTCCCCTTCATCCCAAAGTTGCAGCAATCGTTCTCTTCGGCGACCCAAACAACCGTCTCCCCTTCCCGGGAACCCTGGATGACAATGTCAAAACCTTCTGTCGTGAGGGTGACTTTATCTGTCTTGGATTGCCTATTCTAAATGAGGCCCACTTGCAGTATGGAGACGACGCTCTCGAAGCTGCGGCCTATGTTGCTGAAAGGGTCTAAGCTGGGGAGGGTAAGATGGGGGAGGAGGCGATCTGGGATCGGGCGAAGTGGAACTATTCCCTATTGATACTGGGGGATTTAGGAATGGAATAGATTAATATCTAGGCGAACTACAAGTGTATTAGGTTCAATTAAGAATCACTCTCTCGACAGGAGTGAAAGTTGGTGGACTATTCACCGAGCTATGCAAAAGTACGGGGGTTATGATTGTGATAATGATTTGAATGCGGCGCCGTAATTGTATCATGGGCAGATACCGATAGATCCAGGATATGAAATCACTAACCCACTTTGCGGCCTAATATACGAGTAATATGATGCGAGAGCTAGAGCCGTGCCCAAGTCGCGGATCTAGAGCTACTCGTAGCCTTTCCCACGTTCACTTCCCGAAAAGGGTACAGCTCTAACGCTAATCCAGCGGTTTGGGTAAATTTATGAACCACGGGAATCGGGAACGCTGCCAAGTCGAGCTAAGCTGAGTTAGCAACCACGTGTAAGCCGGGCTCCCTTGCGGGAAACGTGGGATCTACAAAGGACTGGCAATCCTCAGCATGATATCATACTGGTAATTTAGGTGCCGTAGCGACCGAGAAACTATGAGTAGCACATAGCGTAACCCCAGGGTCGTCCCTGCCTTTACAGATTGTGGGGGTATATGTTCGTAAGAGTCGTATTTGCTCTAGGGGGGCTCGCCCGGCCCTCTTTCGCTCTCAACTCACTTGGCGTCTGGGTTGGGCTCGAGTCCCTAGACAGGAATTGATCTGTAGGCCAATCACGAGGAAGGGTAAGTTATTCAATACATGTACTCGAGTATCATGGCTCTCTGGCTGACCGGCAGCCGACCAAGGCCGGAGCGCCCGACTCAACTTTAACCCAGCGTTTGAATAGAGTGTGGATTTGGGGGGGGGGCGTCTTGTCTTAGTGTCTTCCCGTTGCCTCGGTTGCCCTTAAGTTAGCCCCAATTCGACTTTCACCAAAGAATGCTCGTATTACACTATCATAGATCATGACATGATACCTTCGTGTCAAGCGTTCCCTGCAAAACGCTTATCCCCGCAGATCACATCACAATAGCAAATACCTAAAAAGGGTTTAAGGAAAGAAATAGTAGGGATTCCAAATCGGGACTTCTGCCGAAGTTGTTGCTTAAGTTATCGAATTATTACAGGGATCAGGGTAAAATAACAACACGGTGCATGCGGTACGGTACTCGTAGTACTCGTAGCTCAAGCCGCCGTACCCTGGCAGTGGCGCACCCGGGAACCATGATCCAAGCAGGGCCTTTACTTGAGTAATCCCGCTTGCCTCGGTCGACCCATAAGAAAATATATCATTGTTGACGGATAAGTTAGGTACCTGACCTCTAGCTCAATACGCCCAGGAGGATGACCCCATCCAAGCTCTTGCTGAGAATGGAAGGTTGTCCTTTCCGGACAAGCCCGTTGCGGTGTACAGTCGCACCCCGTTGTCCCGGATGGCCAAAATCCTAAGAATCCGTCCGGGACAGCGAGTTATCTGGGACAACAGGTTCGGTTTTGGCGTAAAGAAATTTATAATTCAGAGAAATTCATCCGGGACAGCGAAGAATCCGGGAGAGCGAGGTCCGGGACAACGGGGTGCGACTGTACCATCAATTTTAACCTAAACCAACATTAACGCCGCCGCCCCGTACCATATTTCTCTGTCCGGCCCTTGCGCTCTGTCATACGGTATATTTACCCAAACCTAACCCACCACCACATAGCAGTCTGGGCACAGTTACTTGCACAGTGTGATACACCAACGTTGCTTTGCTGGCAAGCATCCAAGGGGGAAAAAAAAACAGCACCGAATCGCCAACTGTTACCTATTATCATGCGACCCGTTTTCCCGCATCGACCACTGTTGAGGCTTTTTTGATTCAGGATTGTTGAAAGAAAAACCCGCCACAAGGGACGGATACTAAGTTATTCTAAATTAACATCGCGATGGTAGGTTCGATCGTTGGAGGAGGGGACTTCTTTTTAAACAATACTAGTATGCATCGCAGATGATGACTCTCCAATGGCTTTTTGACAACATATTTTTGCTAGGGACAACGAAGTGTGCAAGGTGCTGTACCGTACAGAACTCGACTACTGGATCAAAGGTTGTTTCGGTTGCCTCCCCCCCGCAAAAAAAAAAAGGGTGAGGGGAATGTAGGATGGAGGGAGCAAGTTAGTACCGAGTGGAAGGGTATAACTGTCCACGTTTTCCCCACCCGGAGGGAGAAGTGGGACCGACATAATCTGAGTATCATCATATCTCTCGCTCTTTCCTTCCCATCACTCCCGCTTTCCCGTCCATCCGTCCGCCCGCGACATCCTCATCCGAAGAGAAGTCATCGCCTTCGCCACCATGTCCCCGCAATCCTATGCCCAATCACCCTACCTCTATAGCTTCACCCATGTTCCTGGGAAGGGCATGGGGATAGTAGCAAATTACTACATCCGCCGCGGGACCCGTATAATTTCAGACGCTCCATTGTTCAAGATACCTAACTACACCAGCGACCAGGCTGCTATAACCAGTTACGTTACCAAGGAGCTTAAGGGGAAAACTAAGGATGAGCAACGCATGTTCCTTTCCCTCTTTAATGCCTACCCAGGAGAGTACATGCCATTCTACGGAATCACGAAGACGAACGCGCTCCCGCTGGGGCCGGACTCAGAAGATGCAGGACTGTTCCTGACCGTCGCACGGCTGAATCATAGTTGTAGCCCCAACGCGAATCATACCTGGAATAGTAATACCGGTACAGAGACTATCCATGCGATCCGGGATATTCTCCGTGGGGAGGAGATCACGATCTGCTACATCGGGTCGGATAAATCCTGTCGAGATAGGGAGGGGAGGAGGAAGGAGTTAGCGGCTGTGTTCAAGTTCGAGTGCCACTGCACTGCCTGTGATCTGGTGCCGGAGCAATCTCTCGCGAGCGATAAGCGGAGGGTAGAAATAGAAAAGTTGGATGAGATTGTGGGGCAGGGGGATCTGCTATTGCTGAATGCCTCCACGGCGTTGAAAAGTTGTAGGACGATGCTACGTTTGATGGATGAGGACAGGATATATGATAAGAGAGTTTCGAGGATCTATTATGATGCGTTCCAGATTTGCATTGCGAATGGTGACGTTGCGAGGGCGAGTGCATTTGCTAGAAAGACGGTGGAGGAGAGAGTGCTTTGTGAGGGACCAGATGCAGTGGGGTTGGGGGATCAGAAGGCCTTCATTGAGAATCCGCAGAGTCATAGACTTGCTGGATTATCCAACATCTGGAAGACGGGTCTCGGAGATATTCGGGAATACGACGACCAGGAGGAGTTCAACGTATGGTTGTGGAAGAGGGCGGACAGCTGAGTCGCTGTTAGGCTGGAGGAGCAGAGGGCTTGTTTCTAGGGATCGATGGAAACGGCTCCTAATGGGTATACGAGGATATTTTTTGGTGGCGGTGGCGCATTGCTAGAAGGAGTAGAACTGTGTTAAGTAGTGATGTTTTGGGAAAAAATTTCAATTGGTTTCTGGGGGGTTTTTCTTTCCGTTTTCGTATTATTTTTCAAGATAGCCCGGGCAATATCAATGGTGGGGGGAATGTTGGTCATGTATGCATGATGTGCTCCATGGGGGTGAAGCGTTAATATTCCAACCGGCGTGGTGGCGAACTGCACACTCTGCGATCCTTATTCCCCGAAGATCCGTGAGGTTTGACATAACAGAAAACCCTTCTGCTATCACGGCAGAGCTCCTGTATGAGCTCTATGAGTGCGTATAGGGAACTTCGTGGGAAATAGGCGAAGCCTCGGAGCCACCGGATCTACACCACGCCCATCGTGAGGCGGGTGATACCGACGAGTATTATTATAACCCCCCCTCGAGTGTGTCCTGAGACTGCTGTGGAATAGTGTGAAAGGGTTTCCGGGGAAACTGACATAAAAGCGGAATTCACAAGACCGGGAAACTTGGCAATCTAGCTCTAATAAGACCCTTTCTAACGTCCAAGTGAAAAAACGTGCGATGTCATATCGTACCTTTGGTTTGCAATGGCTCAGCCTCTGTACCGTAGTCATATCCCTTTTCTGTTGTCCCTGTAAAGCCAGCAGCAGATCCACCAAACATCGTGGGAAGGGGTTTCAGAGTGGGGCACTTCAATAGTCACTATTTTTCATCGTGAATTGCGGGGGGAAGAGAGATGCGGTGTTGGAGTCGAATAATGCTTCGCTAATGGCCTCCAGCCGATGCACCTGCTCGGCCCTAAGTGGGCATCTCGCTCCGAGTTCCTGGGGGCAAGGATTTGTGTTTCGTCCCTTTCGTCTATCTGGTGCGATGTAGATGTTCCTGATCAATGCAAAGATAATGGTTATCGTGCCTGCCAACCCATGCATAATTGTTATTGTGGTGATCCCATACCACACGTTCACCCTTTCAAGAACTTATATTTAGATCTAGTATGCCCTGTTCCTTGTGAGGATACCCAACCCCTGCGGGCCTACGGAAGCTAACACTACCGGTATTCTCGTTGCAACTAAATTAACCGAGTAACCTTAGAATTTTTGGGGCCCTAGGTTACAAGCAGGAGGGTTTCAACTACGTAGGTATGATATGAATAATGAGGTCCCTGCGAACCCTCCTTTGTTTCCTCCATCCGAAGAGATTCCGGGGAATTGGTACTAGTCCTATTAACGCCAAACAAACAGACCCTTCCAACTCGGCATAACATATCTTCTTTTTACCCAATGGTGTGTGCAGACTATTTGGCGCATTGAAGTGCATAGTAACGCAATATTAACGGCAATCACCACATTCACACCCCCAGCTCACAGTTGACGTCAATATCCCGAAGTCTCCACGTGCGAATTTGCAATGAATTCTGGAGAGAGTTTGAAGGGCTTAAAAAGATCAAGCGCCCTCCAGAGACCTCAATATCACCAGAACATTGACACCCGTTTTCGCAAGCAAGTGCAATTGGTGCTGCCCCCTAAAGACTTGTGTTTCCAACCTTCTCTTCCCTGTTCGCGTTTTGTTTTCAGATTCGAGCGCCTCTTGTTTTGAGAAACTTTCCACCTCAAAGAGCCAACATGATTGCTCATATTCTGCCGATATTTGCTGTAATAGCAGGGCTGGAAGTACGCGCCGTACCAATGCCTACTCCCCAAGGCGTTACTGCTCTTCTCACACCAGGAGCGGTGTTGGATAACTGCGTTATCAACTTCCCTGGAGTTCACGGAATCTCGATTCAACCCGCTGATCTTGCCGCTGGTGTGATCTCGGCCGCCGGAAGTGGTACTGGAGGGGGTGCGGGGGGTGTGGCATCGGCGGTATCAGCTGGTAACTAGGATATCACCCTGCGTTCGATGTTATAATAATGGTTGGCTAAACCAGCTACGACAGGAGATGCGGCCGAAAACCCTAGAAGGCGGCGGGATGTCACTCAGATCTCCGACGGTACATATCCCCCCATTTCAGGAAATAATTCTTTCCACGGTTCTAACAATTTCATCATCTAGGCCAGATCCAAGTGGTTCCGGTTGCGGGCCATACCGGCGTGGCCGCCCCTGGATCTGTATGGCCTGCTCCTGCTATCGGGGCTGTTACCCAGATTCCCGATGGGCAGATTCAAGCTCCCTGTGCGGCTTACCCCGATGCTGCAGCTGATGCCGTTAGAGTCGTTACTCAGATTGACGATGGACAAATTCAAGCTCCCTGTGCGGCTTACCCTGGTGCTGCCGCTGATGCCGTTAGAGTCGTTACTCAAATTGATGATGGACAAATTCAAGCTCCTGGTGCGGCAGAAACTGTCACTCAAATTGCCGACGGCCAGGTCCAAGGTCCTCAGAAGCACTCTACACTCAAAACCCGCCAGAATGGCTATCCACTCCAGGTCACCCTTAAGGACGGTGTCTTGACAGACATCCTCGGACGTATTGGGTATATCGCCGATAACCGTCAGCTCCAATTCGATGCTCCTCCTCAGGCTGGGGCAATATACACTGGCGGGTTCTCTGCTTGCCCTGATGGAACTTTGGCCTTGGGCAGTAGCAACGTCTTCTATGCTTGTGGGAGCTCTGACTGTAATCACCCTCCCCCCTGAGTTAGACTATCTTTATTAACGGTTTTAGTCACCAATCTCTATGACACCCTGGTCTACCCAGACAATTGCCGTCCAGTCAAATTGTACTTCAGGTAAATTCAATGCAATCCTGAGAGTAGGGATTGGAGGGGCTAGGGGGCGGCGGTGGATATCAATAGAAGCGAAATAAATGAAATGTAAATAAAGGAGAAATAAAAGTCGGCAAACGCAAAGAATCACCTACCTTGTCAGGGGAAAGAGCACCTGTTGTACCTTATTCATTGACATTTTTCTAAACCAGTGGACCACCTAGAACAGGCTGGTCAATTTCTCAGGAGATATTACTTGATTATCACGGTTTGGTATACCCGCAAGAGCGAAAGCCACCCGAATTCTCCGTTGGGGAAGATTGCCAACTAAAATTTCGAAGGGGGGGGGGGGCGTCCCGTGAATGTCACTATGTTATCATGGAACTGATACCCATTGAAGAACTAGCTGCTCACATATCCACGGACAGGGTCCCGCGATCCCAGGAGGACATCCCCATGCCCAAAGCGCAATCAGACGACCTGAAATGCATCTCCGGTTACCATAGTACTGGAATATTATTATTATTATTTAGCCAGGCCAGGGAAAAGGGTGAGGTAGCTCTGAATTAAGACTCAGATAGTCGAGTGACTATCCGTGATGCCAATGCAAAAGCATAATAAGGTTGCCCTTGATAACCGCTCCTCAAGTAATTTGAGAGCCCGGGGGCACTAGAGAAGTAACAAGAATGAGGCAACTTATCGATGAGGTAAGAAAAATTGATTCATAATGATAAAGAATGTGGGTTGGCTTACTGGCTAAGAGTGTTATCTGTGCATAGAGTAAACTCTGTTTAGCTTTAGTAGGGCAGGCCAGATTGTAGATAGATCGGAATGAACTAACAAGAGATCCGGAGTAGGGTATAGTATATAGAAATTCTCGAGCATTTATCCTTCTTAGTATTTTAAGCCTGAGTGATAGAAAGGGATGATTACCCCTCCATGTACGATTTGTAGAATGTCGTTTGGGTTTCCTGGACAAATGCTTCCTTCTTGGAATGTCTGTAGAATACACAACCACTACTAGTGTACCTAGGTCTCTGCGTTTTTACCCTTCGCAGAATAGGAAAAATACGCCATGTATCCTATGATATTACAACAACAGGAAAGCTCTAGGATACTTGAGGGCCCTTAGCCCAGTTATGATCTGTCGGGCCATTATTGGGTGTTGCATGGGTGTGGCGATAGACGGCGTACATGGTTCCCTGATGTATCATACTGAAAAAAAATAACTTATGGGAGCTCCATATAGTTCTGAAAAGTCTCAGAAATTGATATAGCTTTACCGCATCACGACCCTTCATAGTTCTTCTATCAATCCTTAGGGGTCAACGTTCTTCAACCTCTGTGCCTCACCCACCGAACCCCAGCCTTCGTTTCTCCCATATCTCCCTTCGTTATTTGTGCTAGCTGAAGCTTGTACTTCATCGGACTTCAATGCATCAAGGGTAACACTATCTCCTTCGGTCTCTAACAATGCCTAAATAGGAGCACCCTTTTTACCAGATTGGGCCCCAGGGTTAAATGTTGATAAGCTACCAGCAGCGCCTATGATACAAGGAGGAAGGACCGCACCGTTACCTATTGCTAAACCACAGCAGTCACCATTTTCCTCTAGGTGCTCTATTCGGTAATGCCTGGTAGGTATTAGGAGTAGTAACGCTGATTCCTAGAATAAAGGCGTACTCCTCCAACTGCGCTCCCGCGTTAGTAAAGTAGATCTACAGCACTCTATCCTGTTGATCCAGGCTATTTCCTTGCAGTAACCTGATTCCTACCGATCCCTCAACCTGGGTCATGTAATGGTTCTTCCGTGGCATCTAAGGTCGTTCGAGAACACAGTATTGGATTATGAACCTCTAAGCCATTCTAGGGCCAATAGAATTGGACACCGAGAGGCTGCTAGGGAAATTAGATCCATTCGCTATGCAATGAGTCCTAGCTGACGTCCGACGTCCGGTGGGCTCGACATCTAAGCGAGTGTGAAAGATACCGGTACTGGGCGATTTCGGCCATAAACCAGGGGCCAAAATACCCGTGTCCCTAGTAAATTCTCAAAGAATCTCAGCGTGTAAGAAAAAGGCAAAAAAAAAAAAAAAGAAGCAGCCATTGCTTACCTCCGCCGTAAGTCATTACTCACATCCAATCTGTGCTCCAAGCCAAGATATCACTATTTTGCACCCCAGCAACACTCACCTACCCGAAACGTCACTTCCCGAACGTTCACACCATCAGCTTCGGTACAATACAGCACACCCGCGGTTGCAAGCAGAATGCGATACCGGTATAGTATGAAGCTTTCCAGGATCAAACCCAATCACACTTGTACGTTCGGACCCCTACTTTTACCGGTTCGTTGGCTTGTCCACAAAGAAAAGCCACAATCAAATCAACATTCTCACCGGCGCCACGTGGCCGTGGCAGGAAACGGCAAGGACCCCGCAGAGCAGATCCTGACTCAACTTTACCAAGCGCCTCCATAGTCGAAAAAATTGTTTTATTTCGTGGGATGGGTTCCCAAACGCACCAAATGCCGTTCGCCCAACGGCCTATCTCGCCATGATAGCCCGGCGCCGCTTCCGTAACCGAACTGTCCCGAAGGCAGCTGGGTTAAGTAATAGTGCATGCACGTCGGATGCCGGTTATGGTCATCATAGCCTGCGTTTAAGAGGTTTTTTTCTCTCATTTCTTTTCTTCCTCGGTAATTGATGAGCTGGTGAGGGGGTCTTTTTCTCTCTCTCTAGTGCTGGGCTTTGGGAGCCCAAGAAAGCCTTGCTGTCTGACGGCAATCGCGGAGGCGTTAGGATAGCTGTGTGGGAAGCTGCAGGTTTCTCTGAGTTGTGAAGCTTTTAAAGGAAAAAAAAGTGATAAGGCGACACAACTCAACGTTCTTTGATCCTGTCAGGAAATTTTGATCCCTTCAAGACGCACCCTAATGTCCCTACGGACGCCAACGCTGCTGTACTCGAGTAGCGAGGGGAGCGCGAGCGCAGGGATTGTAGAATCATGGGATTCAGTTAGCGTGCTAATTCTCTGAGGGTCATGGGAACTAGGGTTTTCGTACAAGTATTGTAGGTGCGGTTAGCTTATGGCTACGACCCAGTTGCAAAAAATGATAGTGCGGCCGGATCCTGGGAAGTTTCGGAATGGAAAATAGGGTAATGACAGCGTGGGTTTGCAGAACAGGTTTGGTTGGTTTAGGTTGATATTACAGACCACTGCCGTGGTTTACCTTCGGCGTATGTGATGAGACCCAATTTCTCTTATTGTTTCGGCAATTCATTTTTTTTTTTGTGTGTTGTAGTACTTGTATAATAGGGGTGCTAAGGGGCTCGGTTTCGATGTTTTGCTATCGAAACATTGACAATGGTTAGGTCAATTGAGCGACAGAATTGTGTGGAATCGGCCCACGGCGGCGGACGCACAATCCAAAGAGCACTAATAGAGTTGCACATATGATAGGTCAGGGATTTAATAGACCTGGTGCACATCTAGCTTCCTAGCTTGGAAAAACACCACCTGAAATTATACTTGATTATGAGCACCGTCCGATACCGCTGACCTAATGAGAGACACCACAGCGGTGTTCTACTGAGCCTTTCCGTCAACAGCGGCACCTACCGTATGTACAAATGTGCTTGTGGTTAGTCGGCGTTGTCTCATTCTCTCGTGGGAGAGGTGTATCCTACAGGTCTTCCACCAGATGATGTTCCCTTGAGTATATACCATTCACCTCCACACCGAACCTCTGCAAGACATTCCTCCATGAAAACTCCATAGGACAACCAAACCGATCAAAATTTCCTAAGTCAGCAATCACCCAGTCAACAACACGTGTTGCGCACCGAGACATCCGTGAGCACCATGCGCGCAACGGTGATACGATCACCGCGAGCCGGCAGACACAAATTTTTCTTTCGGTCCATGGCGCCTTATTGGCCGTCTAAGCTACCGGGAAGTATAGGAGTTCTCCCTTGCCGAGACATAAGGTGCCGAAAATGCATCTTCCCTTCAACGACTCTCTCCGCGATCACCCGCACGAAAGAGGAAGAGTGGGAATGAGTACCCCACACCCCAATTTTGTCGGCCTTCTTGTTTTGTCCCAATTTGTCCAGGCGGGAGTTGGCATATAGCAAGGCGGTCATCCCACCTGTTCCGGTGCCCCCCTGAGTGAACTCCTCCAGCCAAGGAAGTCGTTCTCTTGTGGACACAATCCTCCAGAAAACAACACACGTCAGACGTGTACTCTCGAGTGATAACACGTGACCTCCAAGCGGTTCTACATGCCCACCCCATCCGGTCTCAGCATCGGGAGAACAAGGAGTGGCACGTGATTTCCCTTTGTGCTAGAGAATTGAAATAGAGGGAGACGGCAGGACCCTCAGTAGCACAAATTTTCCCGAACGGCGGAAGTAAGCAAGCAACTCCGTTAAGAGGGCTGGAATGTACTCGTACAAGTACTACTTACCACACGGACGCTGTAGCATGAGCTGAACCTTGAAGATGATAAATTTTTAGTAAATTTCAGGGCTTGGAGGTGTTGCTATAGTTGCAGCGGCACATATCGGACGGCAAATGTTCGAGTATATAAGAAAATCTTGATGGGCTTTGCGCCAGGATGATAAGCCCAACACGAGATGCTTGGCATTCGCATTTGTTGCTCATGTGGAGGCTTGAAGGTGTGCGGCTCAGTTCCGAGGATACCTTTTAAGAAGATATTCCATAGCGAGCATAATGCGATGCGAGAACAATGAGTTGTGTGTTAATTCTCTTCCGGGGTATCTCGGACAGAAGTCCGGGGTAACCCCCGGATGCCCAATGGAAGCGCCTGAAATTCCAAAGCCAAGACTTTGCTATCGCCTCTCATTAGCCCTTAGGAGGGCACCACCTAATAACTTCGACAAGGTGCCGTAAATTTAAAATCGCACCGACGTCGTTTTCAAAAAGTAATCCACGGCAAGAAAACTTAACAAAGGTTCCTTGAGCGACCAGGAGTGACGGCACAGTACACGCCCGAGACTCCCCGTAATTTACTTTTTTCTATGGCAGATCACTGCATACGTCCTGCAGACGATGTCCCCAGAAAGTAACTCTACACCGGACTACTCTGCGGCGGTCGAGCTTTTCTTTTTCAATAATTGGAACTTCGGAGACATGTGCGAG